TGATCCGGAGGGAGTCAGGATATCCATGTTGGACCTCTGACTCTGTCTCTGGCATTAATCTTGGTGCCCTTGGGCAAGACACATCCCCAGGGATAAAATGAGGGGTTTGCACTCTGAAGGTGCCTACTCCAGCTCTGACATTCTGTCATTCAAAGTGAGCAAGGCAAGACTTATTCTCTCCATTGGACAGAGCAGAAAACATGTGGGCAAGCAAAATCCCCGCAATGGATTAGAATCCAAGCCTGTTCTCTACAAATCCAATGTTCCCTTCACTGTACCACCTTTCCTTCCTCTGGGTTTGAATCCTGCCTCTGTCATTTACTATCTGTGTAGCCTAAAGGAAGTCACCTGCCCTCTCAAGGCTTTAGGAGCTGGAAGGGACCTATGAGGTAGAGTCCAAATCCCTCATTTTGCAAATGAAGAAACTGAGGCGCAGAGAAGTTCTATGACTCAATCAATGTTACACAATAGTACCTGAAGCAGGGTTAGAACCCCAAATCCTGCTCAGATCTATTCAGACTTACAAATTCAAATCCACAAAAAATCAAATTCCAAAAATCTTGCTATCTACTATACAAAGAGCTGTCAAACTCCAGTGGGTGCTTAAAATGTCACTGGGAAATGTTTAACAAAATAAATAAATATATACCATTCAACATAGATAATCTTAATTTATGGCTTTCTAAGTCAATATGCATAGGCAGGGATTAGTTTCTATTTGTGTTTGACACCACTGTGACTAGGCCCTGCTGCTTCCCATCTGTAAAAAGGTGGGGGGGAAGGGGGGACACCATAGACTCCATGATCTTTAAGGTCCCTTTCTCCTTCTAAATCCCTATGATCTGCTATCTGGAACCACATGGAAGGAAGGGAAGGGCGCTTTGCACCACCAGGACTGGCCAGAACTTCTCCCCAAGGGAGATGCACGCACACTGGTCAGGAGGACTCATATCCCTCAAAATGAAGCCCTGATAACCCCACCATCACCACCACCAATGAGGATTCCCCTGGAGAAATTCCCCTTCATGGTGGGAACATGCAAACACACATATACATCATCCAGGGGCTGGCTTTTTAAGACAAGTTTTGGTGAAATGTTTCAACTCAAAACTAGAATGAACATCATTGATAACACGGATTCTGCTGCATCGGCTGAAGGGAAAGTCAAGACGTAGCAACGTTATCAATAATAGCAACAACACCCCAGACTCTCTCAGAGCTGGAAGAGATCTAAGAAGGCACCTCCTCCAATCCATATCAGAGCAGGATCCAAGCACAGTGTGCCTCCTCACCTCCAGCAATCCTAACGAGGGGTCTTCTACTCTTTCGTTGAAGATCGAAGGAGAGGAAGACGCCACTATTTCTCCAAGTAGCTCCTATGGGCTAGCTCTCATTGCTCGGAGGCTTTGTCGACATCAAGCCTCAATCTGCCCCTTGGAAACCTGCACCTGTTACTCCATCCTCTGGGGCCAGGAAGGAGTCTAATTCCTCTTCCATAGGATGGATTTTCAAATATTCGAAAGGCAGCTTTCATGGCCCTTCTGCCTGGGTAGACAGAAGGGATGGTTAGGGAAGAGGAGAAGAAGAAGCTAGAGAGGTGGGAGAAGGCCATTCTGTGTCTCCTTTGGGGTCTAGCACAGGGTGCTTTATTGTTTGGCAAATGACTAAATGGAGTAGCTGACTTTTTCATGTACAAAATGTTTTATATACATTAGAGAGACAATGAAGAAGAGTGCATGAAGTGGAACCAGCTCAAAGCTAGGAAGACTCGGGTTGAGTTCTACCTATGACACATTCTTACCTTGAAACCCTGGGCCAATCATTTAACCTCTCAGTGTTCTGGGCAAGTCTCTGAGAATTGAAGTTGCAGAAAAGGTACTGAACTATCCAGGCAGAAGGGCTTTACTCACCTGGGAGTTCCTCTACCAATGAAATCCCAGGGCTAATCCCCATCTCTTACACACCGTCTTCATTTTGAAGACTGACTGAGTGAATCAGTCAAAAAAAACCAGGGAATTCAGGGAAGTGAGTGAATGAATGAATCAAAAATGATGGAATTCAAGGGAGGGAGTGAATGATTAAGCTCTTTCTAATCTAAAGCCCCAGAAAAGAGGAAGGATATATCTCCCTTGGTTCCAGCTTGACCAGAGAAATACAAGCAGAAGTCTGAACAAGAGACAAGAACAGGAAACAGAAAGGTTGGAGGTGGCGTCATGGGGCCCAGAGCACCCCCAGCCCCAATTCCCAGCAGTATCTCCCAGAATCACTTGGGGGCCAAGAGCTAGGAACTCATACTCCCAGATAGCATGTGCTGGAAACACAAACAACTCTGTTGCTCTTGGAACACCTCTTGGAAACCAGGATGCCATATACAGAAGTGTTTAGCTCCTCAGCTTCGCCAAGAGGAAAACTGTCTTGAAACCCCATACCTGTTTAGACTGCTATTCTCAAAGCTAATAACTCCAGTAAGGGGCTTTTCCTGAACTATAAACTATGGCCATTAACAGATGGAAATGCATTTTAATATCCACACGCATGTATGTCTGAAGTTCACAACATGAGTGTTGACCAGCAGGAGCACAGTCTCAACCAACCTTTTTTTTTTTTTTCTGCTGGCACACATTTAAGGCCTTACAAAATCTGGCCCCAACTTACCTGTTCTGCCTTATTTCTCTCCATTACCTTCTATGTGAAGCCTTTCCTGATCTCTCTGATTGCTCAAGCCCTTCCCCCCAAAACACCTTGTATTAAACAACTTTGTATTTGGGGGTACTTAATTGCTTTCTGTTTTTGCTTATATACTGAAGTATAATACTTAAATACAACATACTTGGTGTCTCTCCCATCTGAATGTAAGGTCCTTCTTTGTACTGTACACGTATCCTCCGCCTGGCACTTAGGAAAGCCCACTAGCTTCACGCTCCCCTATAGGCTTCTTTATTCTAGGTACACTGGACCACAAAACTGTTCTCTGACAAGCCACCTCCGGCCTCTGGGCATTGACTCGGACTGCACACACTCCTCATCTCGGCCTTTTCACATTTTTTCTCTTCCTTCAAGGGCTCCCTCCTCCAGGACACCTTCCCCCATCTCCCATCCCAGGAGAAAGGGATCTCTCTCTCTTTGGTTTTCTACTGCATTCTACTTGGCATCATGTTGCAGCCTTCCTATGAGATTCAAAGTGCCCTGAGGGTAGGGAATGGGCTTAGTGTCACTTTTGGATGCCCATCTTCAAAACCTTGCACATACCAGTGACTTAATAAATAGTTAATTTGAACATTAATTGAATTAATTAATTATGAAATAAGTACAATATAATACTTATGAAATAATTAATTAATTAATTAATTAATTAATTAATTAATTGAACATTGCATTGAATCCAGGGATGAGCTCTTTCACTATCATCCCTCACTTCCCTGAAATACTCTTCGTTTTTCCAGGGCTCTCCTACAAGGACCATCAATCCTCTCACCCTATTGGGTGGGTAGGGGTGAGTTGGGATGGGGAGAAGGTATCATCATCTCCTTTTTATAGATGAGTCCCCTAAGGCTCAGAAAAATCACACAACCTAAGGTCACAAAGAAAGAGTCAGAGGCAGGATTGGAACCTTGGTCTACTGCCTCTAAGTCCAACCAATGGTCTTTCTACCATCACAAGCTGCCTGCAAGATGACTGAACCCGTTGATCTCAGAGTCTCTAAGGCAAGGGTTCTTAACCTTTCTGGGTTGTGGATCCTTTGGGAGCATGCTGAAGTCCAGGGAAGTCACATCTCAGGAGACACAGAGTAAAGATAGAAAGACTTTCATTATCAAGCAGGACGCAAGCAGGGTCAAAGGTCTCATACAATTCAGAGCTGAAAAGGATCTTAAGGATCACCTACTCCGGCTCCTTCCTTTTACAGAGGGGGAAACTGAGTCTCAGAGAATAGAATGGATTAGCTCATGGTTAGCCAAGAAGTAAATAACATAGCCATGAGAATTAGGAAAAATATATGAGTTCTTTAAAAAGAAAGATGGGAGGGAGCTAGGTGGCGTAGTGGATAGAGCACTGGCCCTGGATTCAGGAGGACCTGAGTTCAAATTCAGCCTCAGAGACATAACACTTACTAGCTGTGTGACCCTGGGCAAGTCACTTAACCCCATTGCCTAGCCAAATGAATGAATGAATGAATGAAATAAAATAAAAAGAAAGATGGCAGAGGGCAAGGGTGTGGGGTAGGGAAGGCACCCTGGAGGAGGTGTACCTGAGCTGGGCATGGAAGGATGAGTAGCATATGTAATATAGGAGGAGGAAAGGCTAAGAGCTAAGGGGAGGATGGAACCTCAAAAGGGCCTTCATGGGCACTTGGTTTAGCTTGGACCGCAACAGAATTCCCCCTCTACAGCCTCCGTGACATGTCACCCAGCCTCCCCTCCAGTGCCTAAGGCAGCTCCTTCCACTTTTGGACAACTCTAACAATTAGAAACTTTTCCCTCAGAGCCAGTTAAACTGCCTCCCTGGACGTCCACCCCTGCTCCCAGCCACTAAGCCAAGCAAGCCTAGTAATGCCTTTTCCATGTGACAAGCCTTTAGCCCTTTGGAGGTATCTATCACTGCCCAGGCTGGCCACAGCACAGCTGATATGTACACAGCACTTTCCATTTTACCAAAGGCTTGTCCCGGACCATCTCCTTCGATCCTCCAAGCCACCCTCTGACGGAGCCACTGTAGCTATTCTCACCCCCATTTTGCAGAGGAGGACACCGAGGTACAGAGAGTTTAAGACACTCGACTTGCATGTGGTCACACGGCTGGGATGTATCTGAGGTGGAATCTGAGCCCAGGTCTTCCTGATTTCCAGGCCAGAGCTCTTCCGTTATGCCACAATGTCCCTCCACAATGCCTAAGGGAAAATGGGCAGTACTACTGTAAAAGGGTTGTGGATTTGGAGCTGGAAGACCAGGCATCAAATGCCAGTTCTGCTACTTACTAAGTTGACTTTGGGCAAGACATCTTACCTGCCTGGGCCTCAGTTTCCTTACCTGTAAAATAAGACAATTAGACTGTAAGGTTCCCTCCAGCTTTAAGTTTTGGTGTGTTCCTCTGAGCAAGAGAGGCTAAGGCTAGAGACAGACTCAGGGAAGCCCTGAACGTCCTGTTAAGCAGAAACAGCTCCTCTCCCTGCAGCACAGCCATCCCAGTTATCTCCTAAACTGGGGGACAGAGGGGGCCTGATTTGCAGCAGGAGCCCCTTTAAGCAGAAGCCCAGGCCCAGGAGCATGGTGAACACCAAGAGTTCTCTGCCACGTTAGAGGGGGCTGAAAGGGGACATTGTTTCCAGCACTGTCGTCTGCCTAGCGCCCACCCCACGAGTACTTGCTTCTCCTTGAGTTTTCTTTCTCTGGCCTGAATCCCAGGCTCCCATTCAAAAGCCGGAGCCAACCCCCCAGGCCCCAGCCCCCACTGGCCCTAGAGGGATGCTGACTGTACAGGAACTATACATCCCCGACCCTAAAGGCAGCAGGGCACACTCCCAGCGTCCCCCTGCTCCACCCCCATGAAAACAAAAACACAAGCCTGAGGGTGAAGGGGAGGGGAAAACCCTCTCTCTCCAGCCTAGGCCACCCCTGGGAAGCTCTTAAAGAGTCCTCCCCTCAGAAGTCAGAGAATAGGAAGAAAGTTGTTCCAGGCCCCCTCCCGCTGAGGGGACCTCCTTCCCTCTCCGACCTTCCCTGCCCCCCACAGACATCTCTAGTACCTTTACAGAGCCCGGCCCCTCAATACCACTAATCCCCAGGCACTTAATGAACTACAAGCTTTCCCTTTCACTGGGACAAAAGTTTCTTTCCTTTCTGGGGGCTAATCACAGGCAAACTGTCCCCAGTCCCCACCGTGAGGTCTCTTAAAATCCTATTCCCTCAGTGGCCCCTCCTCCCACTGACTGGGGTGGGGGGAGGTGGGGGGGGAGGGAGGGTGGAACAAATAAAATGTACTTAATTTAGATGGATGGGTGAATGGATGGGTGGGTGGACTGATGGATGGATGGATGGATGGATGGATGGATGGATGGATGGCCACAGGCCGCTGTCACTACAGCAGAAAAACTCTGGATTTGATACCAAAATCCTGGGTTTGATTCCAGCCTCCTCTACTTACTAGCCATGTTTGCTCAGGTACAATCTTTCTACTTAAGAAGTTTGTTCAATAAGTATTTATTAAGGATCACTACAGGCTAAGCACTGTGTAGGAGTCAGAGCTCAGAACAAAATAATCCTTGCCCTCAAGGAAATTACATTCTATCAGGAGAAAATGATATGCAAATTAAGAAAATGATATGCACGTGGAAAATACACTTCCGTTTCCAGGGAAGAACACCAAGGTTGGGGGGCACTTGGGCTGGGGGATTTTAAGGTAGGGGTTCTAAAAAGCTGGAGTGAAAGGGAATGGATTGCAGGTGTGAAGGAGAGGCTAGACAAAAGCAGACAGACTAGAGATGGAATGTCATGTATGGAGACAGAAGCAAGCCAGCTTGGCTGGACCGTAGAGTGTGGAAAGGAAAGTCATGCGAAAGAGTGGTGAGGACTTGAGTTCAAATCTCACCTTGGACTGTCATACCTGTGTGACCTTGGGCAAGTCACTTTTCATCTTTGAGCTTCAAAAGTGAGTTTCAAGAGTGGCGTCAAACAGAAATGGATCTCTGAAGGCTCCATATTGACTTAGAAAACCACAAATTAACATTATCTGTGTTGTGTTGTATTTTTATTCATTTTGTTAAACATTTACAAATATATTTTAATGTGGTTAGGGCCCTAAGTGTGACACCTTCACTATACACTACACAGATGTACCACATAAACAAAAACACCAGAAGTTGATAAACTCTCTCTCTCTCTCTCTCTCATACACACACACACACACACACACACACACACACACACACACACACACACTCCCCCACTTTCCTATTTATGGTCCCACAGTTCACAGCCACACAACTAGCAAATGTTGGTGGCAGAATTTGAACTCAGCTCTCTCCTAATTCTAAGCTCACTGAATTAAGCTGCCCTGTCTCTATCTCTCCTAGATAATCTTAAAGATCCCTTCTAGGTCTACATTTTGTGTAGAGTCCAAGGGAATGAAGTTACCTGCTCTGACTCTAATCTCCCTGATCAAAACCTTCTGTCATCAGTCTATCCCTGATTCCCTCTCCACTGCCCACCTCAGTCTGAATGGGTCCAGGAACCTTGGAATTTTACATGCCAACCAGCGTCTCATGTTTGCCCCAGTGACCCAGCAGGACCCAGGTCAGGAGTCTACTGCGTCTGAGGAAGAGGAAAGAACAAGGGACCAAGGCTCCAGAGTCCTTGGTCCTGTCTCAATCACTCCCCACCAGATGGTCTTTGACAATCATGAAAATAATGATACCTTACGTTGGCAGAGCCCTCCAAGATTTACAAAGCACTTTTCTTCACAACAACCCTACGAGGTAGGTAGTGGGAAGTACCATTATTTTCATTTTACAAATAGGGAAACCCAAAGATGAGAGGGGTTAATGGAATTACCCAAAAACCACACAGCTGGAAAACAAGAGAGTGCCACTTAAGCCCTGACTTCCTGATTCTGAGCCCCAGAGCTCTCTCCCCCATGCCACACTGAGCCAGGCATGGCCCTTCCCATCTCTGGCCTTCAGTTCCCTCCCCTATAAAATGAGATCCTAAGGTATTCCCTCAGCTCTGACGTCTAGTGATTCAACTCTGGCCAAAGGATGATCCCAGAGGCAGGAGAAGAATTTGGACCTCTCAGACCAAATTTGGTTCACTGACGGGACTTTGCTCTTCCAGATGGCTTAGAACCAGAGAGGGAATAACAGAATCTCAGAGCTGGTCCAACCCATGCCTGATGAAGAGCCCTCTCAACATCACACACTACAAATGATTGTCCTGCCTTTACTTGAAGACAGTCAAGCGTGAGCGAAGAGATGCTCACTCCCAAGGCAACCCATTCCACTTGACCCATGTTCTTTCTGGCAGTGCCTCTTTGCAAGATCCTCCCGTGCCCCCAACTGCTCCTAGTTCTGTCTTCTGGGGCTACTCCAAAGGCCAATGCCTCTTCTCATGTCAGCCCTTCTCCCCTTCTTGAGAAACAGTCCCAACTCCTTTAACTTACCTCACCTGGCCTCATCTCCAGTCATCTCACCCTGCTGTTGACTCTCCTTTAGACGTGCTCTAGTGTACATCCTTCCTAAAATACAGTGCCCACAGAGGGATCCAAATCTCTACCCAAATCTGACCAGAATAGAGGACTACGGGGCTAATGATTCCCTCCTTCTGGAAACTGTGGCTCTCCCAATGAAGCCCAACATGGCATTTGCCCTTTTGGCTGCCGAGTTACATTGCTGATTCACGCTGACTCACGTCCAGTAAAAGAGGCCCTTTTCCAGGACTAGTGGGCATCATCGCCCTCATCCCGCTGACCTGGCAGCGGCCAGAACAACAATGGGCATGGTAATATGGTGCACACAGCTTGTTTTCCATGATAAATCTGACTTCAGAGCTGGCTGACTACTCCTTTACAAATGGCGTAACTGGAGACAGCCCGTCCCCCGCCTGGGGAGGAATTCCAGAATTATTCACACATGTTCTCCATGAAATTCACTCTGTGCGGGTATGGAGATGCACTCCCAGACTTTGCATGGTTTTCCCAGTTTGACAACCATTGGCATCTTCTCCTTCCTCTAGAATGAGATGAATTCTGGATGAGAAATCCTTGAGAGGCCGAATTGCTGGGAAGCACCAGTCAGCCAGTCACCAAGCACCCAATCACCGTCACTCACGTCGAGATGGCATTTTACACTTTCCAAAGCACTTTCCTCCAAGCCACCCCATGAGAAGGGCCACTGCACCTCTTTTAATACTACTGTGCTGTAAGAAATGATGGAAGGCATGAAGGGAAACCTGGGAAGGCATATACAAACGGATGAAGAGCAGGGAGCAGAACCAAGAGAATGATTTTTACAATTATCGCCGTATGTAAAGACAAACATCTTTGAAAAGACTTGAGAACTCTGATCAGCACAATTACCAGCCCTCCAGTTCACCCAAGTTTGAAATCTCAGTTATTCTTTTTGTTTTCTTTTTTCTTTCTTTCTTTTTTTTTAGGCAATTGGGGTTAAGTGACTTGCCCAGGGTCACATAGCTAATAAAAGCCATGTGTTTGGTCTGAGGCCGGATTTGAACTCAGGTCCTTCTGACTTCAGGGCCAGTGCTCTATTCATCTAGTCAGAGTTATTCTTGACACCCCTCTCCACCTTCCACGTGCAGTGTCCACATCCTAGCACTTGTATTTCAGCAATATCCCTCCACCCAAGCCCCTTTTTCTCACTCTCACTACAACCCCTTTGGATTAGGCCTTGATCACCTCTCCCCTGCACTATGGAAATGGCCTCACTGATCTCCCTCCCTCCCTTTCCTCTTTCTAGTCAGTGGGTCACAAAGCTGACAAAATTACCTTCCACCATGATGCACAGGAGTGACCATGTCCCTCTCCTGCTCAAAAGCCAGAGGGGCATCTGGGTGGTGCAGTGGATAGAGCACCAGCCCTGGAGTCAACAGGATCTGAGGTCAAATCCAGCCTCAGACATTTGATACTACTGTGTGAACCTGGGCAACTGCCTCAACAAAAAAGAAGAAAAAGCCTTCAGGAATTCTCTACTGCCCGTAGGATGAAATACAAATTCTTCAGTCTGTCATTCAAACCCCTCCACGATCTGACCCCAACCTACCCAGCCTTATTCTGCTCCCCCATTCTGGTATTCTTTTACAACTGAAGAAGACTGCTAATGGTTTCCCTGTCTCATCTTGCTTACTCCTGACTCCATGCATTTATACCAAGCATTTGGCACACTTCTCTCTTTCCTGTACCTTTGGAAATCTTTTCTTCCATAGACAGCCAATACAGGTGCACTACCTTCTCCAAGAAGCCATCCCTGATCTGCTCAGTTTATGGTGATCTCAAATTTTTCTAGAGTATTTTGTTTGGATTC